GGGAGCACTGGGTTTGCAGATCTGTTTGCAGATCTGCTCCGGACATGGTTTGAACAAGGCCTAATAAGCTGGAAGTTCAGTTGCAGTTTAATATAAATTAATATAGAACCTGGGGGGTGACATATTCTCTTATTACATTCAGAGTCTCTTCTTCCTGCTTTACACTGCTGGACAATGGTTGTTTATTACTGCTCCTTCAATGCAAGCCTACTTCAATGCAAGCCTACAGGTATGTGGACTCACAAAAATCAATGCATTGACTATGTATTTACGATTTGATAATATCTGGATATTAACCATCAAGTCAAATAAGCACATGATTAGGGCAATAAGGGAAGGAGATGCCACAGAGTTTCCCCCGTAGCTATCACATCCTTTTTGCCCTGCGTGAACTGATCCCAAGGGGGGGGGTCACCATTGTGCATAGGTTACCCTTAATCTGGCCCTGGTTGATATCTTATCTCAATAGTTGTTAAACAGGAGGGCCGGATGATTGCGCTATGAAACAAAATTTTCTTTGATGGCTAATACACAGTGCAAATTTTAGGCAATAAACATATGGAAGAGCAAGTATGTAAAAATGTGAGTCACATGAGAAAATTACAAAAGTAATTGAAAATATGTGCTTATTGGCAATATACTTTTCATTCCCTTTAATACTCACATGTGACATATTAAAGTGAAAAGGAAGTTATTAACATTCATTAAAGAATAATATTTTTTTTTTAAAAAGGTATTTAAAAAACTGGACTCCATTCTCTAGCAACCAAGCAAACTGCAATAGCACAAATAAAAATGAATACATAGCACTATAAAAGCCAGAATGGCCCTTTAGTTTTGTCATTCTCATCTGCACCATATCATATGTACAGCTTGTGCACCACGTAGAAGATTTCCACTGCGGATAATGTTTTATCTGCTCCTACTATATTAATTGCTTGGATGTGACCGTGCCAATATTTATTCTAGGTATTTTCATTCAGAAATGCAGCTGCTTAAACAAAAATAGTTTACTTGAAAGGCCGTCAGGAGATAGAATTACAATATTGGAGCTTTCAATTCCTGTTACATTGAGGAGGATAATTTAAACCATTTGGTAGTAAAGAGAGGACTTGCAGGATTCAGGAATGTCAGGAAGTTTCGGAAGAGATATACAGTATAAGTTATGTCACGTTTGGCTGGAACATTGAAGCCATGCCACAGTGATTTGACCCATTGGAATTTTTACATTCCAGTACCGTAAACGCTTGTAATAAACAAATACAAATGCCACAATAAACAATTTACATTGTCAAGGATGAGTATTAAAGCTCAACAGAACATTCAGTTTAAATCTGCTAAACAGTGCATCAAAACAACAAACAACGACTCGGCCGAAACTGGAGCAGTGTGTGGCCCTGTCAATGGCCCCCCAGTTTGACAAAAGTCTAATTTTTAATAAATTTTTGTCGAAGGAGTCTGGCTGAGAATTTGCAGACTTACAGTGACTGTATGCGGAAGGATTACATGAAGTTAGGACCAGATCATTATCCCTGGACATAGGGCTGTGTGAAATTATGTCAGTACATTGAGGAAGTACATCCTATGGACATCTTCAACAAGTATTTTACAAACCTGCATATCAATATGGTTATTAGGGGTGGGATAGAACTTATGAAAATGCAATCTAGAAATACTTTTTATTTTGAGTTTTTGACCATAGAGACCTTTCAAGTGTGGTATTTACTATAGAAACTTACAATCACAATTAAACTAATGCAGGCAATACACATACAATAATAACAGTTATACACAAGAAAACATTTCAATAAAATAACTATTTTTCCCAAAATTAAATGCACAAAACAGGCAGTTAATAGGTGATCATTTGGGTACAAAAGTGAACAAATGGCTCATCGTTCATGTATGCCAAGCAGAAAGCTGGCCACATACAAAAAAAACTGTAGATAAAAAGTCCTAAAGTGCCCAATTACCACCAGTGACACTCAGATTGGTTACACTGTTGGCTAAAGCGGGGCCATGTACGGCCAGCAGCTCAGCCAATAATTAACACCATTCATGTCCCACAGATTTTACCCTAGCCTTAAAGCTGAGAAAGAGTGAAAACCCCAACTCAAGCCACATTTGAAAAGGACGTGTGGCCCCTCCAAAATCCATACCAGGCCATTATCCGAGATAGGGGTCTGGTATACAGGTGAAACTCGAATAATTAGAATATCGTGCAAAGTTCATTTATTTCACTAATGCAACTTAAAAGGTGAAACTAATATATGAGATAGACTCATTATATGCAAAGCAAGATAATTCAAGCCGGGATTTGTCATAATTGTGATGATTATGGCTTACAGCTCATGAAAACCCCAAGAACCCCAAATCCACAACCTCAAAAAAGTAGATTATTACATGCAATCAATAAAACAAGGATTGTACATAGAACAATATCGGACCTCTGAAAAGTACAAGCATGCATATGTACTCAGTACTTGGTTTGGGCCCCTTTTGCAGCACTTACTGCAATTACTTTTGCAAGATATTCTAATTATTCGAGTTTCACCTGTATATTCTAAGAGGGGGATCCCATGCAACAAAAAGGTGGGGTTCCCCCTTCATATCATAGTCTCCCTCTTTACATCAAAAGCCCACTTTGAAATCAGGAGCCCCCCTTCCACATCAGAATCTCACTTCACATCCACCCTCCTTTTTAAACACAAGGAGACCCCCTTTCACATCAGAGTCTCGCCTTCACATTAGGAGCCCCCTTCAACGCAGAGCCCCCTTTAAATCAGAGTCTCCCTTTACATCAGAAGCTCCCCCCTCCCCTGTGCACCAGGTGCCCGCATCACATCCTAGCCCCCTCCTTTCTCATTAGAGTCCCTCCTTTCGCACCAGGTGTCCCTGTGACATCAGAATCCCCCTTCACATCAGAGTCCTACCATCACATCAGCATTATGGCAGAGGACGGGAGGTGGAGCGACCCTGGATGGAGGCAAACTTCCTTCCTTTTATAAATGCCTCCCACCTTCCCTGGATTAGTGCCATTCATTTCAATAGTGCTGGCAGCCAGCCAGCCTACCTGCACCTGTGCAAAATGTTTAAGGAACCCTTGAGGAAGCCAGAAGGCACCACAGGGTTCTGCAGCACCCTGGTTGACAAAAGATGCTATAGATCATACTATGAGCAAGGCTAGAGGTAGATAGAATAATACGTTTGTCTCATTATGCCAATTAAATCACATGTCAACCTGACCACGTACAGTTGTACCAGATCAGCAGATGGGTACAATTGTCTAATAACTTTGCGTCTCTCTGCCAATTAAAACATAGACGGGTGTTGCTTACAGGTTAATGCTTTTTGAGTTGGCGTACGATTTAAGATGCGTTCCATTTTCATTTCAATTGACTGAAGTGCCATTATGTTAAGTCAAAACAAAATACGACATACTAGACTTTTTTTTTACCAATGCTCTATGAGACACAAGTACAATTAGAACTATCCGTTTTCTCTTGTTTATACCTCCTGCCTGCTCTAGAAAATGTAATAAAATACATGACTATGCAACCAGTGTGAACTTTGAGGACATTAAGCAACAAGAACCATCTAGCAAATGTGCACGTCAATTAAAGGAAACAAAAGAATGACAAGCTCTTATCTACAAGAAACTTAGCGGTAAACACCAGAGAATTGAAAAAAACTGTCCCCCCTGCACTGCAAGGGTTAAATGCTCGTTTTCTGCCTAGGGTACTATTAAAAAGCACTTTTACTTACTTTATCCCTCACTGCTGCAGGCTTCAACACTCAGTGCGACCAGTCCCTCAAAACCAATTTTCTTTGGCATTCCATCCATCGGTTGCCATCACGTACAATGCAGGACAAGCAGTCCTGCATTGTAAGTGAGGATGCTGAAGACCCAACCACAACATGAAACGGCAAAGGGAAAGTGCAGACTGCTAAGGGAACGGGAGATATGGCAAGTAAAAAAAGAGCTTTAACCCTTGCAGTGCATGGGGCACCCCACTGCAAGGGTAGTTTTAATTTTGCCTGGAGTTCAGCTATAATAGGATGAGTGCGTCTTTACATATTCATTGAAGATAGTAGTGCTTACATTGCCAGGCCTGCCCAGGGTCAACAGATTTATCCCAACTGCTCTTAGGGGACTGGAAGGATACAAAAACCCATTTAGATTGCAATTGTCTGTTACCAACCAAATGGTACCTGTAGAAGCCAGCAGCCATTCCAACTACACAGGTATATACCTAGAAGTAAAAAGTCTTCTGCACACTGGTGTCTGAAGGGAGTCGAATTGTTACTACACATCGAACTGTCTAAGAGTACCACCAGCAGACCCCATCATCCAAAATACAGAGTAAGCAGCTACTCAGCAGGCAGACAGTCCATCCTGTATACAGCTTCACTGAAACAGGTAGTTTCAGATCACAAAGAAAAACAAAAAAAAACACACACCAGATCATCTGAGTGGAAGACAGTCATAGGCTGCCTTGGAAGAATGAATGATCCCAATTTGAGGACAGCTTGCTATTACCAGGGTCGATTCTGAACTGTAATATGGCAATTTAAGGCAGTTGGAGTTGCTCACCCTTACAGAGGAAGATACACACAGATTAGGTTAATTTACTAAAGGAGTAGCTGCCATTTACTTAGCAAAGTAAATGTTTGCTTTCCAAAGGATATATTCACTTACTCAAGCTAGCCATACAATGGTTGAAGTTTTGGCTGAGCCCTGCTGACTTGGCCAATATTTGACCGGCGTATGGTCCCAACGGAACCCCAGCATCTGACAAAAGTTGAATCTGCTGCCTCGACCGTTCGGGTCCCCTGGTTCAAATCCTGGTCAGGACACCATCTGCAAGGAGTTTGCATGTTCTCCCTGTGCTTGTGTGGGTTTTCTCCGGGTACTCTGGTTTCCTCCCACACTCCAAAAGAAATGCTGGTAGGTTACTTGGCTCCTGTGTAAATTGGCACTGTATGCATGTACAATAGGGACCTTAGATTGTAAGCAGGGACTGATGTGACTGTGCAGTATGTAAAGCACTTTGTAAATTGTTGGAGCTATACAAATATCAATACTAAAAGAATAAGTTGTTGCCTAGGCACACACATACGTTTCGGGAGGAGTGACTCTTTAAGCATCCAAGCCATGGCATACTACAAACCAAGCGGGCTATAAATAGTTTCTGAGCAGCACATATACTTCTTCGAAACTTTACAAAATCCTCTTGAATAGTTTTCAGTTATTAGAAACTAGCCAGGACCCTGTAGGAGAGGAGAGCAGACACACCTTTGATGTCCATATGTTAGGAATTTGGAGTGTGCTGCACTACACAGTATAAATCTCAGCCCTAATCTGTCTCAGCCTGGAAGATTTTACAATCTCATCATTTTGCAGCACAAGAAAGAAAAGTAAGAAGCATATGGCAGCAGTTTCTGGAGTGACAGACGGTAGGTCCGGCTTTTCTAATCTTCTGCCAAGTTTCTTTTTAAGGATTATTCTACTAACAATATATAGATGGATCTTATTCTGAACTACAATCACAATACATTCTGCTAATGATTAAAGCTTAGCGAAAGCCAAAACTTTTCTTCCCCCCACTTTGAATAGAATAGGTATGGTTAAAATCTAGGTCTAGGGTTTTTGCAGTCTGTCATATTGGAGAGATTTTCCTTCTTTTCCTGTCTCAGAGAATCAGGAAGTGAGAATCTGTAGAAAATTTAGGCAAATCCAGTTGTCACCAGAAGTGTCCCTATTGGAAGATCTCCTCTCTATCTCTGTTCTGGTGACAACTCGTAATTTTGGATTTTGTCTAACTTTCAATCTTGGTACCAAAAGTTAACAATAGGGATACACCAATACCATTTTTTCCAGACCGAGTACAAGTACTGATACTTTTCCTCAAGTACTCTCAGATACTAATTACCTTTTTTAGTGAATTTTTTTCTAAAACAATACATGATTAATGATTTTAGGACAGTGGTGGAGTGCCAGGACCCGGTCGTAGCTGCAAACGCTGCACCCCTGGTAGTTCTGCCACAGGCTCCAAGCTGTAGAGGGACTACAAATCCCAACAATACATTATACAGCAATGCAGAATAATATGAAGCTACATATCTATGCTGCTCCATGGTGCTGGCCTGGTTTCTCCAGTGGAGGATCTTAGGAAGGCTGTCGAGAGTCCCAGGTGGACTGTGGAGGATCTCAGGTGGGCTGTGGAGAGTCTCATGGGTTGGCAGCGGCAGCACTGCAGACCATTATTGCACAGAATTATCTAATAAGAAACAACAATGATTGGACATGGTTTTCTCCCTCCAAGATCTGGTAGCTGTAACGGTCATCCACTGCCCACAGACATGGGACCAGATTGGAAGACGGTCATCTTAGGTCTATAGTAGGGATGCACCGATACAAATACTAGTATCGGTGCCGATACAGAGTATTTGGGCGAGTACTCATACAAGTGCTCTGATACTGGAATTTCAGGCCAGAGGGAGATCTCCCTCTAACCGGCAGTGCAGAGGGTGCTTGGAGCCAGCTTCCTTTCCAATCAGGAAGCCGGGCAGTTGGTTATGGCCCACCTCCCGGCTTCCCGATTGGTCAGAAAGCAAGGCTGCCTAGGAACATGCGAAGCCGACTTCCTAGACAATCGGGAAGCCGGATCATGAAGTGCCGCCCAACTTCCTGATTAGCTAGGAAGCTGGCTTCACGTGTTGCTAAGCAGCCTGGCTTTCTGACCAATCAGGAAGCCAGATGGCACCTTATGACATGCCGCCTGGCATCCTGATTGATCAGGAAGCCAGGCAGCCTCTGAAGCTGGTGTTCTCTCGGTAGAAGACCGGCTTCACAGGCAATCAGGAAGCCAGGCGATGGGTCATGATTCGCTGCCCCAACTTCCTGATAATCGGGGTACAAGGCACCAGAACTCTATCAGCTAGTGCCTGGAAATATAAAATTAAAAAAAAATAAAAATAAAAATCGGTACTTGTACTAGATACCAAAAAAACGGTATCTGTGCATCCCTAGACTATAGGCACCTTTAGTGAAGAGGACAAGGCAAATGTATGTTTTATCAGTCTAACCATTTCTAGGCGGTATTTACACAACAGAATGATAAAAATGTCGCTTTTTTTAGGCATTTTCAACTTGTAGAAATGTGAATCCATACACCAGTAGAACTTTGTTGGCTTTGGAACATTTGTTAAACTTTCAATGGATAGTGGGGTCGCTTTCAACTGTACTAGCGAGGAAAATTGAAGGAGCAAGATGGAAAAGATTTGATTTCTTACCTGATCGAATTAAATTCCAATCCTGGTTCCTGCGCCGTTCAGCAATCACTTCTCTTCCGCACCGGCTATGGACTGTCCCTTGGCGTTTTCACGTCTAATGATGGACTTGCATAAGACGCGAGAACATCACCAGTCCTTAGACCGCCGCAGAACAGGTGGGAAGAGAAGGCGGAATACAGTCTAGCAGCCCAGCAGGGCCAAGGATCCGGTAAATAATTCTGCATTATTAAAGCCCCCTCGAAAAAACAAGCACTTCACCCTTTAGGGCCCTCAGGGCTTTTAAATGAAATTAAGTGGACTCAATCAGGACAAGATTGAATACTTTATGAACGATTTCAAACGAATGCTCAAACAAAATTCTAACAGTGTATGATCTCTGTAGTATAGCACCACATGAAGATCGCCCTGTGAAGGCCAATAAAGGTCTTCCATATGATGAGATGACAAATCAGACATTTCCTTTACCCAAGTGACTGCCGACTAGACTATAAGCAGTGATGAATCCTTTTGAACTCAATGACTATGGGTCACGTGGTTTTTCCTGGACAGACTGATCTCAGATCTTATCTCTTTTTTTTTGACTATGGAGACAGTCGTTTGCTTCAGCCGATTAACCTTTACATCAGGGCGAGACAATTCAAAGGAACCAGGTAATTAGTGCAACCAAAAAAAATGATAGCTGGTGCCCAAGTTTCCTGAGCATGGTCTATGCCTGTCAATGAAGAGACAGGAACCCTGGCTGCTTGAAGTGCCTTCTGGCATCTACACTGGATTGGCTGGTTCCTGAGCAATGTCTATCCCAGTCAATGAAAAGACGGGAACTCTGGCTGCTTTACAGTAGTATTAAAGGATTTTCACCAATACATCTGTATTCACTAATTCAGCACAACACATTATATTACTGCTGGGGAAAAAAAAAAAAAGTTCAGAAAATTTAAAATATGGTTACAGATGCCGCAGCCAAGTCTCATTGTGCTGCGTTCCCTAACTCCTGGTTGGGAAGTGCGCACCTAGCTACATTCAAAATAACCTGATCCCCCTTCCTCAGGGCTACATCTCCCATAATTCATGGCACCATTGCACACGTGCCACTTTTAATCATTTTCCAGGAGGTGTATTCTTTAATCTAGGGTTGCCCATGCCCGTCTGCACAGGCAGCGTCTTTGTGTTATCCTGCACTCCTTTCCTAGGAGTGTTCATAAAAAGGTGGTCATCATGGGGCTCCATAGGACCCTGCAAGAACAAGAAGCCACCCTTGAAGCCAGCGACCAGGGAGGACAGAAAACCAGAGACATTAGAAGTAGCAGACAATGTAAGACAGAACATCAACATTTCACTTTTGTAGCCAAATGGGATAACAGCTACTTTTTATTTGTTATACATTTCTCATTCGCATAGCACAACAAACAAAAATAATTAATCAATTGCTGTTTACAGGATTACTTGCCCTTTCATGAAACCAAAGTTTTTCTCTAAACTAAAATTTCGTCTAGAATACAAGGAGGGGTGGGGAGTAATAAATTTGGTTTCAGAAAGTTTCAGAAAGTTGACTTGATTTTCTAATCACTCAAATTGATGGACCAAAAAACATTTTTTTTATAAAAACATTTTTTACAAAAAAAAGAATTTTTCATTAATGGAAAATCACACCGTAAATATGTTTTCACCACTCACAAAACTCCATTTTAAAGTTGAATGTAAAACCAAACATTTGTCATGTTCTTGATGCCAGTATCGAATGTTGTGACCAGATTTTTCCTATGAATATCTGTATGAAAATGTACCAGTGTATGCCCAGCTTTACCCTCCCTGTACTGTGCTGGCCCAACAAAGGGTTAAAGATTTAGAAGCATTGTATCCTTCTCTGATTTACAAAGACCAGTGAGCATTCAATTTGCGAAGTGAACAGTCTCTATCTTGTATGTATCCCCGTTTATATTCCCTTGAAAGCCTTTTTTTATATTTGTTCAACAAGTGCAAAAAAAAAAAAAAAAAAAAAAGGAATACTTGTAAGCTGATAACTTCCTGTGCTCTCTGCCTGTGCTACACTCATCCGTTACATTATTGCCAGTTTTTGCTCTATGAACTATATAACACCTCCATCTATGTTAGTATGAGAGAAGCAGGTGTTCTGTAGCCCTGCCATAGGGTGACAACACTGCTCCTCCACTGATACACTACAGTGAGTGATCGTTGTCACACTAGGACAGGTAGGGAAAAAAACAAAATGCAGCCACCACATCTAAGCTCTGCTAACCTTCAAGATCTTGAATTTAGATATGCTTTAAAATTAACCCCAAAGGTTCTAAATGACAAGAAGGGAACCGCCAGGCTGCCCACATTTCTCCCAGCACAGATATCACCTTTATCTGGGTGAACAGGGGGGCTAGCATAGGAGGAGTGTAACTCCAAATGGTATGCAGAATATAATGCCAACAACTAGTCAGGTTTACCATCAAATCAGCCCTATTTAATGTTACTTGTAGAGAGAAAATACTGCAAAGAGGAGCTTCTTCCCCTAGCCAATAACTACAATGCATTCACCTTGGGCAGTGTAGTGTGCCCACCACAGAATAAAGAACAATTACTGATGTACACAGAGTGCCCCCTCTCAACCGGTATAGTGTATTGTGCCCATAGCAGAACATAAAACAATTATTGATGCATGCAATAATGATAGTAGAGACCAGTGCGCCACTTGCCCAGTGCAGTGTAGAGATAAGTGTCCCTCTCACCGGGTACAACGTAAAGACCAGTGCCCCTTTCACCTGTTACACTGACGAGACCAGTGCCCATCTCACCCAGTACAGTGTAAAGTGCCCTTCTCACCTGGTGCAACGTAAAGACCAGTGCCCCACTCACCTGTTACACTGAAGAGACCAGTGCCCCTCTCACCCTGTAAGCTGCAGTGCAGAGAATAGTGCCCCTCTCATTCAGTGCAGTGTATTGTGCCCACAGAAGAACATAACAACTATAGATGTATACAGATAATAAGCATTGCAGAGATAAAGTGCCCCTCTCACTTGGTACTCTGTAAAGACCAGTGCCCTCTCACCCGGTGCAGTGTACTGTACACATATAACTGCTGTACACTGTATTGCCCAGTGCCCTCTCACCCACTGCCGAGTATTGTGCCTGTATAAATATTAATAATGTACACTGTATTGCCCACTGCTTTCTCACCTAGTGCTGTCTTTTGCACCCATCTAACTACTGATGTACACTGTATTGCTCAGTGCCCTCTCACCTGGTGTAGTGTTCTGTACGCATATAACAAATCGATAGGTGACATTGTATTGCGCAGTGGGCTTCCACCTGTTGCGCTACCCATATAACAATCCAAAGGTCATATTGTATTGCCCAGTGGGTTTTCACCTGGTGCGGTACCCATAGAACAATTGTGCGGTACCCATAGAACAAATCAATGTGGCATATTGCTCAGTGGGCTCTCACCTGGTTCTGTGCCCATACAACAACTGATAGGTAACATTGTATTGCCCAGTGGGCTCTCACCTGGTGCTGTGCCCATAGAACAACCGATAGGTGACATTGTATTGCCCAGCCCAGTGGGCTCTCACCTAGTGCAGAACCCATAAAATAATCATAGGTGATATTGTATTGCCCAGGAGGCTCTCACCTGGTGCTGTGCTCATAGATCAATCAATAGGGGACATTGTATTGCCCAGTGGGCTCTCACCTGGTGCTGGCTGACATTGGCAGGGCTGGCAGGGCTCCCCCTGAGCAGAGTGATGTGTAGGGTGAGTAGAAGAAGTCCCAGCAGCAGCAGTAGCTCGGCTGCCAGCCTCACCATCCTCTTGATGCGCCCGGCTTTCAGTGCCCGCTCACTCGGGCTAGCTGCATCCCCGCTCTCCGGGTCCAGGGGGTCCGGCTGGGTGGAGGAGCCGGAGGAGCCACCGCCACCACCACAGCACTTCGGAGCCACTGCGGGACAGGAAGGAACAAAGCCCAAGGGAAAGCTGCAGGGGAGGGGGACGAGCGAGGGTCTCCCCAAGCTGGGGGTGGAGGCAGATCAGCAGCGGGCAGGACTTCCTTGAGCCAGCTGAGATCCAGATTTAACATGGGCTGCACCCTGCACCCCAAAACTCTCCCCGAAATGACGTCCTAGGCAGGCACGCGTGCACAGGTAAGAGGTGTGCAGTACTCTGATCCACCAGATCCTACAGGAGGGCGCTGTGCCGGAGATCCTCCAGGGATCCCCCAGTACCAGGGAGCTCCGAGCCGGGGGGACCGGGGGGTTATTGTCCGCCGATCACCCACGTGTGGGCTGACATCGGTGTGTAGATCCGTGCTGGGACACTTGTTGCTCTTCTCTGACTCACATACAGAGCTCTCCTTAGAGTTCTCCCGGAGAAGGTGCTGAGAGCGCTGAAGTGTACATTGTATCCATTCCGCTGATCAATGATCCGCTACATGGAGCAAACCCTCCAATATGACCGTCCGATCCTCCGCAGGCTTCCCCCGAGCACACAGGCGCCCAGCGTGTCAGATGGACTTTATAGTGCAGTTCAGTGCTTGTTGTTGGTGTGTATGTGTTACCCATCC